AAACAGCTTGGATTTTGTCCCGGCATCACATTCTCACATACGCGTCGTAACACATTGTTTGTTGAGCCCTGATGGCAATTGGAAACCCATTTGATACACCACTAAACGGGACAGTTCAGGAGTGTCACTTTATGTCTGACCATGACTTCACTTACCGACATATAAATGTTATCAGAGTCTTTGTAACGATTCACATTAAACGTGTCTTTATCGTTGTTGCTTTTGACATGTTGCATTAAACACGCCCAGGGTGGCGATACAATTGTTGATCTCTCCCTGGGGTGAGGTGAGGTGAGGTGAGGTGAGGTGAAATTGGGTTTAACGTCGTGCTTGAGAATATTTCGCTCATATGACGACGTGCATGCGTGTGTATGTGTATTTGCGGCTGCTTGTACTAGCCCAGACTGAAGCTGGTTTTATAGTGCTAGCCCACTGAGATACCACCCCGCAGTGAAGCATGAATACCCCACTCAGACACATTATACTGACTCCGAGCCAACCAGTCCTTGTTGTACTCATTAATTCCGAGCGCCAGGCAGGGACCAACAAGTACCATATTTTAACGTCTTTTGGTATGACACGGTCGGGGATCGAACCCGCGACCTTCCGCTCTCCGGGCGGACGCTCTAACCACTACACCACGGAGGCGGCCTCTCCCTGGGGTATAATGTCTGAAGCTTCAGTTAAGTTGTAGCAATTATCTATGTTCAATTTAAATATTTTTTTCTCAAACCATTGGGAGTGATACCAGAGCATAAATATGCATATCAATTTGAAGATAGTGCTTAACTTGATCCCATCCTCATACAGAGAGCGAGTGGATGAATGTTGTTTTTTTCGCCGCAGCCAGTCATATTCTACTCACATTGAGGCAATCTATAAGTATGAAGTCGTTTTGCTCGAGCAACGTTCCGGTAATATAGACGGGGTGCAATGGCGCTCAAGATATCCAGTTTAAGCAGCTCCTGCAACTAAAGTACAGTATGTCGGATCTACTTCAGCCTCATTCACTAGGTTGATATGACCCGTGGTTGGCGGCACATGTGTCTACAGTGACAAGGCACAATAGGGTCTAGCATGTAGCCCTGGATAATATTTACCTGTGTCCTTGAACTACATGCTAGCGCGATTGGGATCTCGACATACGCACACCTATCACACTGCTGACATGCATGGCTGGATAAAGGGTGTTTGTCTCCAGCCCATACAACACATATGCAATAACTAGATAGTGTCTGATAATATATGCATGCTTCCGAGTTGAACACGGAACATGGTTATTCTATAAATGTTTGACAACAGATTAAGGATATCAACGTCAAATATTCATAGCAGTATTTACCTGTTTTAGGATGTCAAGACCGCACTAAATGATTACGTAAGGATGTAGTTCAAATTTGGGATGTAGTTCAAATCGGATGTAGTTCTTATGGGAGTAAACCTAGCCATTGGTGGATGAAAATAGATGTGTATTGTAAATAGAATTTGACCTGTCTATAGAATCTGTGTTGTCACAACAGGGAAGTATGTTCTACCAATGCAATGAGGAGAGAGTCGATGTCATACTGGTTTTACCTTTCGTGTATTGTGGGGTGAATTGCTAGCACAAACGATAAGCAGTGGGGTTTAAACGCTTTCAGTTTGATGGAACAACAACAACGACTTAAGAATGGGTTTCGACTTCTTTGCCTACTGTTCAGCATCCATTCTCCTTTGTACTGTATTTACTGACGAGAGATCGTAAAACTGGCCAATTGTTTTTGGAAATATTATTCACACATTCTAACATCACTTTGAAATCGCAAAATGATAATGTATTAATCTCAAATGTATAAAAAAATTGCAAAGAATAGAGTAGTGTTCCTGGATGCTTAGCAAGTCTGCACCTGGACCAGTGATCACTATCATGAGCAATATTACGTTGTCGTGGTTGAAGCCCACTCCGATCGATTAGAGTATGCGCCAGCGAGTGTCTGGAAGTGTCTATTTTCAAGACGGAAAACTTCACCACGAAGTATTTCATTACGAACACTTAGTTAACACAGGCCAAATTGATTTATACTGCCTACTATATCTTTGAAAACAACGTTTAACACGTGTGGTTCAGACCATCTACCTCAACGTTTCTGACTGTATACAGTGTTCATGTTGGACCGCTAACCCCCAATGAGGTGGATCAACGATTCTGAGTTACACATACAAACAAACACACACAAACTCATCACATGACATATTCAAATGGAATTTAGCGTATTTTTGTGTCTGTTTGTGAAAATTAAATGTAAATGCCTCTCAGTATTCACGCATATTTGAAATGTTTACTAATTGTTTGGAAACAGCGTTTACATTATGAACTCTGACAAAGCTACCTAAAACCTGCCTTAAAATATCATCGGCAATTTTGTAATACTGACACAACTGTACCAAAGTATTATCTGCAATGTGGTCACACTGACACAACTGCCTTACTGTATCAGCTACAATGTTGTCACACTGACACAACTGCCTTTACTGTATCAGCTACAATGTTGTCACACTGACACAACTGCCTTACTGTATCAGCTACAATGTTGTCACACTGACACAACTGCCTTACTGTATCAGCTACAATGTTGTCACACTGACACAACTGCCTTACTGTATCAGCTACAATGTTGTCACACTGACACAACTGCCTTACTGTATCATCTACAATGTTGTCACACTGACACAACTGCCTTACTGTATCAGCTACAATGTTGTCACACTGACACAACTGCCTTACTGTATCAGCTACAATGTTGTCACACTGACACAACTGCCTTACTGTATCAGCTACAATGTTGTCACACTGACACAACTGCCTTACTGTATCAGCTACAATGTTGTCACACTGACACAACTGCCTTACTGTATCAGCTACAATGTTGTCACACTGACACAACTGCCTTACTGTATCAGCTACAATGTTGTCACGCTGACACAACTGCCTTACTGTATCATCTACAATGTTGTCACACTGACACAACTGCCTTACTGTATCAGCTACAATGTTGTCACACTGACACAACTGCCTTACTGTATCAGCTACAATGTTGTTACACTGACAAAACTGCCTTACTGTATCAGCTACAATGTTGTTACACTGACACAACTGCCTTACTGTATCAGCTACAATGTTGTCACACTGACAAAACTGCCTTACTGTATCAGCTACAATGTTGTCACACTGACACAACTGCCTTACTGTATCATCTACAATGTTGTCACACTGACAAAACTGCCTTACTGTATCAGCTACAATGTTGTCACACTGCCACAACTGCCTTACTGTATCATCTACAATGTGGGGCGGTGGGGTAGCCTAGTGGTCAAAGCGTTGGCTCGTCACGCCGAAGGCCCGGGTTCGATTCCCCTCATGGGCACAATGTGTTAAGCCCATTTCTGGTGTCCCCCGCCGTGATATTGCTGGAATATTGCTAAAAGCGGCGTAAAACTAAACTCAGTCAGTCAGTCAGTCATCTACAATGTGGTCACACTGACACAACTGCCTTACTGTATCAACTACAATGTTGTCACACTGACACAACTGCCTTACTGTATCAGCTACAATGTTGTTACACTGACACAACTGCCTTACTGTATCAGCTACAATGTTGACACACTGACAAAACTGCCTTACTGTATCAGCTACAATGTTGTTACACTGACACAACTGCCTTACTGTATCATCTACAATGTTGTCACACTGACAAAACTGCCTTACTGTATCAACTACAATGTTGTTACACTCAGCCTTACTGTATCATGTTGTTACACTGACACAACTGCCTTTACTGTATCAGTTGTCACACTGACACAACTGCCTGTATCATCTACAATGTTGTCACACTGACATGTATCAGCTACAATGTTGTTACACTGACACAACTGCCTTACTGTATCAGCTACAATGTTGTTACACTGACACAACTGCCTTACTGTATCAGCTACAATGTTGTCACACTGACAAAACTGCCTTACTGTATCAGCTACAATGTTGTTACACTGACACAACTGCCTTACTGTATCATCTACAATGTTGTCACACTGACAAAACTGCCTTACTGTATCAGCTACAATGTTGTCACACTGACACAACTGCCTTACTGTATCAGCTACAATGTTGTCACACTGACATAACTGCCTTACTGTATCAGCTACAATGTTGTCACACTGACACAACTGCCTTACTGTATCAGCTACAATGTTGTCACACTGACATAACTGCCTTACTGTATCATCTACAATGTTGTCACACTGACACAACTGTCTTACTGTATCAGCTACAATGTTGTCACACTGACATAACTGCCTTACTGTATCAGCTACAATGTTGTCACACTGACACAACTGCCTTACTGTATCAGCTACAATGTTGTCACGCTGACACAACTGCCTTACTGCATCATCTACAATGTTGTCACACTGACACAACTGCCTTACTGTATCATCTACAATGTTGTCACGCTGACACAACTGCCTTACTGTATCAGCTACAATGTTGTCACACTGACACAACTGCCTTATCGTATCAGCTACTCCGCTTCAATACGGGTACACCTTTATGACACATGTAAGTTCAAATTTGAATTTGTAGCGTAAGGTAACATAAAGTAATATGTACAGGTGATTAGGCTCTTTGAGAGTGCTTTCCTGCCCCGGATCGATGGGAGTAAACCACCCCAAGTACAAGAATTTACTAAGAAAGTGTTATCAAAATATATACATGTATTCCGATTGTTATGGAGACTTGTTCTAACTGCCCCCAACATTCTAGGGCAAGCACAGATAAAAGTACTGTAGCTGTATAACGCCCAGCAGAGCAGCCTTACATATGCTCTGGTGCAACCTGCATTGAGTAGGATAGGCCTCGGGTAGTAATACACTGTTTACACCGTGGTCTTTCATGTATCACAATGAACGACCATATTCATCCCATATATGGAGAGACACGTGAGCCTCTGCAATTTACTTCCTCGTTCCAGCTATACAAAAGCTGAAGCTCTCTCCTCGCCCTGCGCATGATGTCTGGGTCAGGTGTATCTACTGTCCGTGTGAGACAGGTGACGACAGACGAGGTGTCCCCAGCTGCTTGTGGTATGCCTCTGAATGGTATGTCCATCTTTTACTACTGTACTCAACCTCCATACGTAGATATCTGTTCGTGGGTATTCATGTGAGGGCCAATCATTATTTATTCAGGGTAAATGAATACTTACACTCGATATTTATGTTCGTAGCGGAATATAGACTATACATTCATGTAAAACAGTTGATGTAAGTAGACATTGATGAATTTCGTATGTATTCTTATGTGGAGTTTTAATTTAATTCAGTTCCACCGAGTAATTGGCATTAGTGGTCATATGCACATTGACGGTTTTCTGCCACTGCCGTCAATAAGGGTGTGACATTCTAAACTGTAACGTGCAGCAATGAGGTGTCTGACATTCTGCCATCAGCTGTCGCTTATACATGCCCAACAACGTATCCTCATATATGGTATACATTTGTTTGCATACGCGTTTTTTGAAAAATATGCCATGTTTGACCTTTATCGCATACACAAACCATCATCCCTCTTAGTTCTGGTTCCATAGCACCCAGGATCTAGGGGAATCCGGAGTCATGCTCCCACGGGGAATATTTTTAAAATGAGATGCACTCAGATGCAATTTCCTGCTTTCTGAAGATAAATTGACGCAATTTATGCAATCTCTAATTTTGTATAATAATGTTTTCCTGCTACGTTTGACCAATATTTTTCATGCTTTTTAAAATGGTTTCTTTGTTAAAGATTGTACCATCTGTAAATAATGTTGGCGAGAGTGGGTGGTGGGGTGAGAGCGCCCGTCTCTTCCTCGAAAAAAAATATTTGTGGCGCATTTACTCTAACCTATATCCCAAATCCTGGATCCGTCCCCGAGACTGAACTAACTTTAGCCATATATGAGGCTTAAGGCTGTACATGTTGTTATATGCATGATGGTTAACTGGCTGAATTGAAGCATGTGGTTTTTTTAGGAAATATATGATGTTTACGAAGCTCCATTATCAGACGAAACACAATCCTTTGACCATTATCGGCAAGATAATGGTGACACGTTATTTACTTGGATCACAGTCAATCAGGATTGACACCAGGTGTTCGCGAAAAGGATTAATATATCCAGCATTACGGGCAGCACCCACCACTCAATTAGTACAAACATATGTGTTTGTTACCTACCATGCCGACAATGATATGATTTCAACACTAGTATTATGTGATGTGATATGATTGAGTGAGTATAGTTTTACGCTGCTTGTAGCAATATTCAAGCAATATCGCGGCGGGGGACACCAGAAATGGGCTTCACACATTGTGCCCATGTCGGGAATCGAACCCGGGTCTTCGGCATGACGAGCGAACGCTTTAACCACTAGGCTACCCCACCACCCCTTTGATGTGATCTGATGTGATCACCTGTGTAGGTTAAACATTATAAGTGATATGATATACGCGACAACCAGAAAAGTTCTTGTTCTATCACGGCGTCACGGAAGCAATTCAGAAAAACCAGTGATTTGTATCATGAGTGAGTGAGGTTTTACCCCGCTTTTAACAATATTCAAACAACATCGCGGCGGGGGACACCATAAATGGGCTCCACACGTTGTACCCATGTGGGGAATCAAACCCGGGTCTCTGGCGTGACGAGCGAACGCTTTAACCACTAGGCTACCCCACTGCCCCATTAATATGATGAACGTAACAACGTCCCATTTACTAGCATCAGCCACCTAGCAATTCTAGTCAGAAATCCTTTTCTGATGAGGATAAGAGTAAAGCATTACAGCATCCATTATTTTGGTAAAACTCATGTTATGACGTAACCGTATTCGCCACAATGGAGGTGACATCATATTACTTCCTTGTGAATACTTAATGCAGACAGCTTTTGGCTCGCTCGTCACAGCGGTACGTACAAGGAAGTATGTTACTTTTAAAGGACCAATTCATGCGTCTTGTTCACAGGCTCCTGATATATGTGTAGCTTGACATATAACGTGAATATTTTAAACGCAAACAATAGACTCCAGCGAAAAGTAGTATAGGGGTGCATTGCATAGAACAGCACAACGGAGATAGGGCAGACTGTTATACATATCATATGCTTATATTTAAAGACGTATAAATGTTATCAATGTGATATTCATGGCTGAGCCGTGACTCTTGTATCGGGATACGTAGCAGGCGATTCAACGATTCGAAAATGTCGCAGTTCAAGTCATATTTGTCGTTTGACAATGTTAAATATTGTATGGGTTCATACTGGTACATGATATATGTAGATACATAACACGACAACGCCATGCAATAAGTAGTCGGGGCTGTGGGAAGCCTTGTGGTAAAAGCGTTCGCTCGTCACACCGAAGATGCGAGTTATATTCCCCACATGGATATGGTGTGTGAACTTATTGATATTGATATTGATACTTGATATTGCTGGAATATTACTAAAAGCGGCGTAAAACTATACTGACTCACTGAATAATCAGTTTCGATTATCTGCAAAACCAGATTATGCTTAAATGGCATCCGCCACGGCATCCTGTAAACAAACAAGACAATCACCTGGTGGACCTGAAAATCAAGCTCAATTAAATAAATTTAATTTTAAATAATTAAACACATGTGCAAAGTGAACTGACTGCAGCAATATCTGGGTCTAGAGACTGTAATTGTTATTATATTTCTTTGTACTAATCGTGTTGAATCCAAACAGGTGTGTGTTAGGAAACATGATTTATGTCAAAGCCAGAGAATAACCAGCTTGGTTATCCGGCAAATTAATAAGAGCAAAATAGTTGTGAAAAATATGAAAATCAGTGATGAAACCAGGATTTCGCGAAAATGGTTCATGTCCTGCCCATCGATGGCACCCTCAACTCTCTTATTTTGCATAGACCCATGAAGGTCCGGGTTAGTATACCTGTATTGATCTTCAGTAACCCATGCTTGTCGTAAGAGGCGGCTAACGGGTTCCGGTGGTCGGGCTCGCTGACTTGGTTGACACATGTCATCGGTTCCCAATTGCGCAGATCGATACTCATGCTGTTGATCACTGGATTGTCTGGTCCAAACTCGATTATTTACAGACCGCCGCCATATGGCTGGAATTTTTATTATAGGATATTTATATAGCTCACATATCCACGCACTAGTTCATGCTCAAGGCGCTGGTATTTTTCCCTCGATCATTGGATGGAATATTGCTGAGTGCGGCGTAAAACTCAACTCACTCACTTATTTTGTGACATTAACAAACCTAGTGCATAAATGCAAAAAGACGGTGTCAAATGCTATTCCCTTTTATCGACTTGCATGTAAAGTGAATAGTTGATTAGCCTTTGCATTTGTTATACTCACCTTTTCGTTAACACCTGGTATCATCACTATTTCATAGTCATTCATGATGCAGTCGAAATCAAGTGTGGTTTTAGTAGAGATTTCTAATGGATGTGAATATGGTTTTGTTGCTGTTATTTGCTTGACATGACACAGCAGTACACCTGCCATGCGACAAACGAACAGACAATGTGTGAGTAAGTTAGTGAGTTTTACGCCGTTTTTAGCAATATTCCAGCAATATCACGGCGGGGACACCAGAAATGGGCTTCACACACTGTACCCAGAATCACTAAGAATAGACAATGAAGTGAGCACCGATATAAATGAGGGTATAGTATGTTCAACATTTCGTGACAGATGCTGTCAGTTATCGTATAAATCAGGAACTCTAACATGTGTATTTTAGGGGGCGGTGGGGTAGTCTAGTGGTTAAAGCGTTGGCTCGTCACTCCGAAGACCTGGGCTCGAATCCCCACATGGGTACAATGTGTGAAGCCCATTTCTGGTGTCCCCCGCCGTGATGTTGCTGGAATATTGTTAAAAGCGGCGTAAAACCAAACTCAGTCAGTCTATAACGGTGGCAGATATCGCCTTATCCGCCAAGCAATTCTAATCAGAAATCTCATGGGGAATTTCGGGACATTGAAGGTGTCACAAACGGCGACGTGACACTTGTTACTTCCTTGTGAATACATAATTCGAAAACTTTACGCTGGCTTGTTACAGGGAAGTGTATTACCTGATATGAGACCTATTCAAGGCGGATGGAACATCACAACGTACATGTACGTAAAACAGACTGTCATGCTTTCGGTATCATATGCTTAAGGTCAATGAAATATGAAATTTTGTTCAGTGTGATCATTCATGGCTGAGTAAGGTTACTTGTAGCAAAAGCCGTATCGGTCGCTCCAGTCGGCTCTATAATATTCAAGTCATATTTACCTTTTGACAATGGCAGATTCGAACCAGTAAAGCGTGTATGTGAACCTACATGGCATGTTAACGCTAGGTGAGGTGAGGTGAGGTGAAATTGGGTTTAACGTCGTGCTTGAGAATATTTCGCTCATATGACGACGTGCATGCGTGTGTATGTGTATGTGCGGCTGCTTGTACCAGCCCAGACTGAAGCTGGTTTTATAGTGCTAGCCCACTGAGATACCATGCCGCAGTGAAGCATGAATACCCCACTCAGACACATTATACTGACTCCGAGCCGACCAGTCCTTGTTGTACCCATTAATGCCGAGCGCCAGGCAGGGACCAACAAGTACCATATTTTAACGTCTTTTGGTATGACGCGGTCGGGGATCGAACCCGCGACCTTCCGCTCTCTGGGCGGAGGCTCTAACCACTACACCACGGAGGCGGTTGTTAACGCTAGGTGATACAGTTGGTACAATTAGTTGGCATTGATTGTCTGCCAAGTGACACAAAAGAACACTTACAGTCTTTGAATACACAATGCCATTTAGAAAGTGGTCAAATGTAACACATGTTATGTTTGGGATCACACAGATTCTAGTACTTTTGTTGGGTTGAGCCCCATCGAACCCATACTCTCAGATTCAGGCATCTAATCGCCAGCCGCGTGAGCGGGCATCTCATTGTAAACTACCTGAGGGAAGTTGATCTGTATCATAAATTGTAACTATGTAATGTGAATTTAGTACTTTTGAATTTAGTGCTATGACATTTTCTGTTGTTGAATAACAATGTAATGAATATATCCTTTTAAAATAAAACTCATTTGGACTTTGTACTTAAATTGCGTATTAATTCAGGCTTGATCTCGTCATTTAATGCCTGGAAAAATGCCGATGCGACGTAAAACCCAACTCAACTCAAGCCTAATCGCCACCGCACAAAGTCAGCCACCTAACCCGCTCAGCCAACGCGGCTTCCATAAAAATAGAAGTCGGACAACTAGACTGTGGACTTTGTGCAGACTTACAGTTTTTGTTGAAAATAAACACGATATGCTATTTTGATCAACGTTGTTGTGTAAATAGATTCTGCAGCTTGTTAGAGAGGAAACTAGAAGTACAACAAATCCCCCTTTTGCATAAAAAAACCCTAATCGTTTGTTAGCTAACGTCACGCAGCTGTACTCCCCGGGGGGATATTTTGTGGGGGTTATATGAGAGTTGTGCTTTGGTAGAATAGTAACATATGCAGTCCATACGTTTATAGCTGACAACTCACTAGATCTGGGACGTGATAGGTCTATCTAAAAGACGATCTGGCAGTTCAAAGTAAGGACTGACTGCTCGCGTTTCATGGTGTCATGGTTGTTGCTCAGTCAAGTGTTGTACAACAGTGCTCTACCGGATTGTACCAGACGCAAATATAGCGGCTAAAAAATTAAATTAAAAGAGCTATGATACTTATTATTTGGACTAATTAAATAGATTCATTTAAACGCTTGTCTGATATTTAAATGTTTTGAAATCAGGACTCTTGGCAAGGACAAATTCAAATGTCAAAATCCTAAGACTAAAACTGGGTGTTTTGTAATGTCGATTAAGGTATAGTTATGCCATGTTCAGTAGCTATATATGGCAATGTGGTAGCATGTGCGTGTCAATGTTTTCAGATGGAACCGAGATTCCCGACAACTTTGATGATATGTCACCCTCCAGGGGGAAAACGTGAACATAATGCAGGTAATGTCGTACAATTCTGATCAAAACTGAGAATGTACGAATTGCTGTTTTTCAGTTATACTTTACTTTGATCAAATTGATCTAACTACATACATGTACATGAACATACAAGTAGACCGCCTCCATGGTTAAGTTGATAGAACATCTTTCCTGAGAGCGGTAGGTCGTTGGTTCGATCGAACGAACGCACACACACGCACGCACACACACAAAAAAACACCAACAACACATACGCACACACACATATGGATGAAATACTCCTCAACCCAACCTTTGTTTATTGAGAAACAATAAAACTACCGATAGCATTTATACTGTTATTCCGTTTCCGTTTCAGCATATGGAAACACCAATGGAGGAGAGCGTTTGTCAATGTCGGTATTGTTTTCACTTATGTAAAGTAATAATAAATACTTCTTCAAGTTTACTTAACATATGCTTTGCTCTTTGTTCTGTGCTTTTTATCACATAAAAGTCTGGAGCACTACCTATCAGCAATGGGTAAGTATTAGCCGGTTGCTAGAACTAACATGCTTTGTGTGTAGCAAGTTGGAGCTTTGTGTGTATTGGGCGTGAGGTATGCAAGGGTGTGAGGTATGCAAGGGCGAGTGTGTCATAATGTCAGGACTTGTCTTTTCTTCAGGATAAACATTCCATAATAAATGCAGCAATACACCAGGGTAAGCTGAGAAATGAAAGGATTTGCCTTGTGACTTAACGTTTGCTCACATTGGTCGGCGTGTATCATTGCTAATTGCAAAATATTAGTCATAAGGCATATCCTTTCAGATCCGTGTCTGATATTGTAGTGAGATATTTACATTTTAAGCCACAACTACAACCACAAGCGCTGCCACAACGCCGTCAACGTGCGGCCCTATGGCTGATGCCTCTCTGAACCAGGACTGCTCCAACGCTAGATGCGTGGCCGTCAACAGCTCATGTGTGACAACGTCAGCCGGAAACCGCAGATGTGCCTGTATTAACAAGAACGTACAGATATCTCCTACAGGATGCTCAATGGGTAGGTATTGTGATGATCAGCATGAGCTGTAAACATGTAATGAGAAGGACGCATGTTACCTTACTAAAGGTTCAGAGTGTTATCAACAACCTTCAGAAAGGTTTCTGTGTTTCAGGGCCCAGTATTCTGTCAAGTAACAAAACATCCGTCTTCGCCACAGATCTATCAAGAACATCACAAGATGGTAAGTCAAGCCATTTAGTTTGAAAACTTTAAAAAAAACCCCAAACAAACCCGTGGAAATGTAACCCGATTGGTGTAACCCAAGCTGTGTTGATAACACGAATTTTATGTTTCTTTAGTTTCAGTGGGTTCAATCCCTCTGGACGAGCTGAGTAAATTTCCAACAGTTACATTCTCCACAGAAGCTAGTGTATATCCTGATGAGGGGATTCTGGACCTGAGTGGGAGCTCGGAGAAGATTGATGTTGCATTGGTCAAGGAGATACGCGATGCTCAAACCTTTGTCGTGGTGTTACGTGCATCCGCTGGGGAGTTCACTGTGCAGCAGCTTGTGACTGTCCGGATCACATCCTCCTTCTTCACTCCAGAAAACGTCACAGTTATGCTGGTGGAGGGAACCAGGAAAGGCACACTGATAGCTGACGTGAGGACTATTGGTAGTTTGGGAGGTTACAGCAACTACGATATTGAGACCACAGATGGTACAGCTGGGGCCTTGTTCCTTGTGACAGCCTCAGGGCAAGTTCTCTGTGGACAGGACATGTTACTGAGTAACTTTGCCAATGACGACACAGTGGCTAAGGAATATATAGCCAGTGTCACGGCGACGAAGGGAGGACAAAGAGCAACAGTTGCAACGTTTTACATCTTGTTCTTCAGGAGTAGTTTTACAAAAATGTTAAGTGAAAATTGGATAGGCAATATCTTGAGCTACAGTATAACAAGCTCAAGGTTTCGGATTGACATTAAGGAGGATACTCTCCCAGACAGGCTACGGCTAACAAAAGATCTGACTACCATAAGGCTGGTCAACGGAACTGATTACGAGGCTGGCATCAGAAGCATAAATTTTACACTTGATCTCGTCACTACGGACAGTGCAAAGTCAACCACAGTAGATGTACGCATAAAGATTGAAGATGAAAATGACGAACGTCCGGAGTTTCAAAAAGCAGTTTACTACTTTTCCCTGCTTGCTGGTTCAAAGACTAATAGTGTAGTCGGTGTTGTTAGCGCTACTGATAAAGATACAACTGGACAGACATCATTTCAATTGGAAGGCGCCTATAAAGACGACTTCACCATAAACGACGATGGTATTTTGACATCAAAGGTGGACTTAACAAGAGGGCGGTTCCCCTCCGCGATCCTTTTTCGTGTCAAGGCTTATGATGGCGTTAACTACTCTGAAGAAGCCAACATCACTGTGTATCTCATCTCCTACACCAGCAATGCAATCAACCTCAACAGAACCTTCCTTGGTAGCGTCAGCGAGAACAGCCCCCCTGGAACAAATGTTGCTGATGTTGCAGTGTCAAACTACACCGGTTACAAATTTGCAAACTCTCGGGCTAACAGTCTCTTCAACCTGGATCTTGTATCTGTAAGTCTTATGATATTTCTTATAGCTTGTCTACTTAAATATATCAACAGTAATGCATGTAATGTATGTTTGTGTGGCTTTAGGCTTATTGACTGAGTTAACTGTGACAAAATCCCAGTGACAAGTTTATGTATAAAATGCGTTTTATACACAACCGCTTTCTGATTGAAGGGGGTCGTCACAACAAACATTTCCTTGGACCGAGAGAACAACTACCATGCAAATACTGACTTCACCATTCTGGCTTACATGGATAGTAATGACCAGTGCTCCCCTGTGGTGAGTGGACATATAAGGAATCTGTATGGATGTTTGTTAAGATATCTACAGGCATTATCCGCATAGTGTAACGTTTATTGTATATTTTCATGCATATTTCTTAAAAATGATTCACGAACCTAATAATGTATGCGTGGAAAAATTGCTTCATTCATGAACTGTTTTTTGACTGTCAAATTTCACACTTTTGAATGACTTGTAGAATTATGATTCAAACTTGAATGGACAATATAGTATGCATCTATCTATCCCACAGACGATTGGTCAACTCATTACAACTGTAACGGACGTTAACGACAACGCACCAACATTTTCCAAACTTTCCTATACAGGAAGTGTAAAAGAAAACTCAACTACAGGGACTCTGGTGGATGGTTTGGTGAGTGTGATGATTAACATCTTGAAAAGGTGACTTCCGACGTAAGTGTATTCAAAGGGAAATGTAAAGAATTTCATTTAGAGAGACTAGACAGTGATATTGGCGCTTTTGTATAGGTCATCAACATATGTACGTATGTCTAGTGTTCATGCAGGTTCAGCTTCATCTATGGAGTGATATTGACACTTTGTAACTATTCAGATGTCCCAAAACATGTACATTTGTATATGTTCTCCTGCAGGTTGACGTAGGTGTTACTGACGACGACATCGGAGAGAATGGTGCCGTCAACTTCGCTTTGACGGGAACAGGCAGCAACTATTTTGCTGTTGAGAAATCAAACCACAACCACTTCACCATCAAAACAAACGGAACTCTGGTCGACAGGGAAGTAACTCCATATGTACTCCTGACATTAACTGGAACAGACAACCCATCTAATCCCCAGACAGGCACCACTACTCTCAACATCACAATCATGGACATCAATGACAATGCACCTCAGTTCAACCCTGGGACGACTGTATTTTCGGTGGAAGAAAACGCTGGACCAACAAGTATCACTACGTTAACAGCTACGGACAAAGATGAAGGCCGGAATGGACAGGTGTCATACTCATTGGTAGAAGGGGGTTTTGGACTATTTGCAGTTGACGAAAGCACTGGCGCAGTATCAACAATCAAGGAAATTGACAGAGAAAACAGGGATGTCTTCAACCTGTCCATTGAAGCCAGGGACCAAGGGTCGCCTTCCCTTGCATCAGTATTGACAATTACCGTCAATATTAGTGATGTAAACGACGAAAAGCCAACATTTTTACAGACATTCTACAAAGGTAATTATATAGAAAATACTCAGTGTACCACGAGCATCCTGACAGTGGCAGCAACAGATCTGGATGAAGGGAGCAATGCCAACATCAGGTTCTCAACAACAAGTTCCAACTTTACAGTCGATCGAACCTCCGGCGCCATCAGATGTGCAAATCCCCTTGACTATGAAGCAATGCAGCAACACCTCATAGAGATTAAAGCCGAGAACCCAGGGACATCTATGAGCGATACAGTTACAGTTGAGATCAACGTTAAAGATGTAAATGACAACAGTCCACGTTTTGATAAAAGTACCTATCAGTCTGAGATCACAACGTGGGAGTGGGTAACCAACAATCCTGTCGATGTTTTTGAAGTTATGGACGATGATTCTGGAACGAACGGCCAATTTACATTCTCTATGAGTGGGAAGACGGACATATTTTTCATAGATGGAGAAACTGTAGGTGTGTTACGCATCAAAGCGGATGCAACTCAACCCGGCGCCTCGACAACACACAATTTTGACGTCACAGCCACAGACAAAGGTTCTCCAGCACTAAGTGTCTCAGTCCCAGTGTCAGTTCAGGTGAAGAAAATAGAAGGCAATAGTACTGTACGGTTCAGTTCTAAGGACTTCAGGTTTTCGATAGTGGAGAACCAAGTATATACCACTCCTTTCGGAATGACAAAGGCTTCACATGATCCCTTCGTGTCAGTGACCTATTCCTTAATCCGTGGTGGTGACTTCAGTATTGATCCTACCAGTGGAGAGTTGACTTGTAGCAAACCACAGGATCGTGAGGCAGCACCCAGCCATACCATGGTCGTCCGCGCCAGAGATATGGCCACTAACACCTCGGACGTGGCTGTTGTAAGTTCGGGTTTCTCCATAGATCTATCACTTACTGGGCTTTGTCCAAATTCTTGTGGTACTAACACTCAAAGTTTGTTATATAGGCTTCAGTGAGGCAGCAAATAACAGTTAATCAAACAGTAGATGGTGGTGAAAGATCATATGGGATCATTATAGAATTTAAGAGTGAAAATATTTGGATTCTTGTGTTTTGTTCGTTCTGGGTGCATGGAGAAAACATCTTGGCGCTAGTGTGATCATAACTGCTGTAAACATATCCTTAGGACAGAACATAGAAACTACGTGAGCTTCTTGTGTGTGAATGTATGTTTGAATTAATGTTGGTATCGTTCCAGATAACAGTAATTATTGACGACGTAAATGACAACGCGCCTAGATTTCTGACAGTTCCTGCACAGCACGTGTTCAGTGTTCCGGAAAACGCTATGGGCATGTTTGTTGCAAGCATTATTGCCGAAGATCAGGATGCGGGTCAAAATGGAACAATAACCTACAGCATTGAGACTCAAACACCTCGATTTCGTAAGTCGTTTTGTAAGTGTAGAGATTGATGCAAGAACCCCCCCCCCAAAAAAAAAAAAACAAAAACCCCAAAAAAAAAAATACAAACAAACAAACAAAACAAAAACAAACAACAACTGTACTTGAGTAATATTTTGCCGAACTTGGAACTGACAGGTTTTAAAGTGCCGTATTTTGCGTGTTAGTTTCCATGATGACAATTGCATGCTTGTTTTGAATTCAAATTATGCCACTAAAACTTAAACTAAAATTTGAGGTTGTTGTTGATGAGGTTATCATTTGGTTAATCTCCGCTCTAAAATGATTGACAAACGTAATACCATATAGTGAAACGCATTAAACAATGTGCTAATAAACACAGTGTAGATGTCCAGGGGATCGTGAGTTTATCAAGTAACCAGATGGAGCCACGTTACTGTAATGTGTCAGCATTTGACGATGCCAACGGGAAACATGTCCCGGTTCTTCAGATTCAGTCATCTTTGTTACTCACATGTCAGTGTTTCATTACGTATTGTATTAGATCTATGTCATACTTCACAGATTTCTCGGTAGACCCTGGAACTGGACGTATTACTGTGTCGGGAGATTTAGACAGAGAACTTTTTGACCACTACAACTTAACCATCAAGGTAACTCAAACTTCCCATGAAATATGGCTTGACTACATCATGCGACACTTTTATCGGATGACTGAATTTACTTGTATTCAATCTCGAAGTGATTTTTACACTGTGTGGTTAATGTTTTATGGTAAATGAAATTTTATGTCCAATTTCATTCTTAAATATTCCAGGCAACGGATAATGCAGTCGCCCCCTTCACTGCAATAACACAGGCTACCATAGTCATCATGGACGTCAACGACAACCCCCCGACATTCAACCAATCGTTATACGCAATGACAGTGAAGGAAAATAGTGACAAGTCCACGACGGTAGGATATAAAGCAATAAGCATAGATACCTACATGAGTATAACACGGTGACGCATTGGTCGGAGCAGCCCAGTTGTACACATACAGGGTATCATGCGAGTGAATGTGGGGTGGCAAATATCCATTTGGAGGGAATATACATTGTACGTATAATGCTGAATTACGTACATGGCGTTTCTCCAAATACGATGCCAAAACCACTGACGCGTGATAGATCTTTGACGCCGATGGATGATACTGATTCCATGTTTGTAGTGACTGAAGAAATACCAAATCCACCTCTTAATCTGTATACCAGTCGATAACCATAACGGATCAGTCTAAGTAAACTTAGGCTCAGTATTATTCGTTACACTGCTATACTGAGTCTAACAAAACCTTGTGGAAGGTCGCGTCAGATAACCTTTTCTATTGACCAATCAGAACACAGCTTATGAAATCGCGAAAGTTGACATTCGCACATACATTTTGAACTTTGACTTCCAAAAAGTTTGTACCGAACGATTCCGAATGCTATTTTCCGTACGATCGGTTCCTAGTGAGGCACGCCACAGCAGTGAGTAAACAGTCGCTGAAAATAGTGTTTTGTAGGTATTCAAGCATGTCAGCTTGTTGAAATATTAGCTAATGATAGCCATGTCATCAGAAACCCCAAAGCGTATATACTGCAGGGCAAATATCTGTGTTTTATGCAATTTTCATTTGTTGGGAGATCAGTGTTGGCGAACGGGGAAGAGAAAATCTATTTTCTAAGTCCCGCCGAACCCTAAATAATGGCTGTTGTCTGATTGGTTAAATCCGTCCGGTCGTCTCGCGTTTGATTGGACGGTAATAGGTCGCTCAAAGGTTACCTGACCATCCACAAGGTTTTGTTAGACCCAGTATAGCAGTGTAACGAATAATACTGAGTCTAAGTTTACTTAGACTGCATAACGGATATCTATATCAGTTAATGTACTCTACATATAATTTGGACCATTGCATGGCACATGGATGTCAGCTCCTGTGTATCTATGAGAAGAAAACAAGAAATAAGTGGGTGGAATTCGAACACTATTTCAGTTATATGATGGCGTTTGTAGGACAGAAGCGAAGAACTCAAAGTGCCAACCAAGGGAGATAATCTAGGGAACCAATTATTGTCTGTTACAGAACTGTTAAACATCTGATGATTATCTATCTATGATATATCTATACTGTATATAATGAAGTTAAATAATAACAAATGATAACCTCTATACCACACTCTTGTGTCCTTTCTTTTACATTTTATTTAATATATGATTGTGAAGTTTCTAGTTTGACTCAGTATATAATGAAGTTAATTCAAAATGTCAACGTCACAGAATGACCAGTCTGAATTATTTAAGGAAACAGAAGCACTTGTGCATAAAAAGGTAAATAGTTGTGAAACTATTCGATTAAGTGTTATCGAAAAGGTATTACTAAATATGTGTTGTTTTTGCTTCTTTGCCAGTGTTTTTATTTTAGCATACCGTTTCGGATTTGATCAAAACATTTGCTTCCTCCTCCTGGTGAAGGTCGTGACAGCAACTGACAGGGACTCCGGGTGTAATGGCGCAGTCGACTATGTTGCTAACACCGTGATGGTGGACGGAACTGTGTGTCCATTCAGCGTATCCGGTAAGTTTAATTTAAACTTTAGTCTGATGAATATTTTCACTCTTCTAAATCCTGTAGTTCTAAAGGAACCGTTTAGTTGGTGCATGATTTCTAACACTTTGAGGATTCATTGAACGAGGGGCAAATAAAACCAATACGTTGCACATGTATTCCAAGTACAACATATACAGTATTTTTTAGGAAATATCCTGACGTTTTCAAACAAGATAAAAGAAACATAATTTGTCAATTTCTTTGGAAATACCTGAATCACATGATTGCAGGTTTAATCTTCAATTTTGTTAGAATTAATTTAAGAAATCTTCTTTCCGATATCTTGATTTTAACGGAGTCGAAATTTGCATTTTTTACAACAAACAATTACGCGGAGGTAATTTGAAAAAAATGAAATACGTCAGAAGATTATGTAAATATGTGACAATAAAAAATAATTGTTCGAGATGATATTGTCAGTTGAGAACATTATGTTTTTTTCTGCGATGTTAAAATTTTGGGGCAAAAATTTAGGGGTTATATATATAAAACCATGCGCTACATTTTGTCTTTTTGAAGTAATTTTATATGGTGCACAATACTAACATCGCAGAAAAAAACATAATGTTCTCAATTGACATTATCATCTCGAACATTATTTTTTATTGTCTCATATTTACATAATACATCACCTGACGTATTTTAATTCTATATATTACAGCTGGAGGGGAAGTGAAAGTGAGTGGCGACCTCGACTACGAGACGACTTCAACATATGAATGCATCATCACTGCTGTGGATATGCACACATGCAACACTGTCACAGGACGACTCACTGGGTCGACAACCTTATCCGTCACCATCCTTGATTTCAACGACAACAAGCCGGTGTTTCAAGGGGCTCCGTACAGAGCCAACATATCAAGAGCCGCTGGCATCAACAGTCTCGTCACCGACACCATCACTGCAACTGACAGGGACGACGACAAGGACGGAAATGGAGTCGTCAAATACCATATTTTATCAAGTATGTACAGAACATAATGTATCTTAAAAGCAAATACAGTTTACATGACGTGATGTTTATACTAACGGAAAGAAGTAACTCTGCTCCAATAAAACACACACACACAAACACACACACACACACACACACACACACACACATTCAAAAAGTCAATGTAAATGCATCTTTCAGTACACATACTAGAAACAACACCTCGAATTTAAGGTCAAGTTTATGTAAAACTCAGAATTAAAAAAGTCCAAGCGCCGTGTGTATGCTGCAAGCACGGACGGCTCAGAACGAAGTTTAATGTTCGTCGACTCTCGGGGCGGTGGGGTAGCCCAATTGGTTTAAGCGTTCGCTCGTCACGGCGAAGACCAGGGTTCGATTCCCAACTTGGGTACAATGTGTGAAGCCCATTTTTGGTGCCTCCTGCAGTGATATTGCTGGAATATTGCTAAAAGCTGTGTAAAAGCCAACTAACCCACTCACTCCAGTGTAGGTACAACGTGCACATGTTCACAATGACATACCGAAAGGCAGAGAATAGAGATGCTTAGTGTCGGCAATGTTAACCCAAAAACAGTTTTAAAAAGAAAATTCATGGGAAGGGAATTTCTGCTGATTCACGTCATTTCTATTTTTAAACATAGTCCTACTAGTCTCTGATATGCAAGTGTTAATCTTTCTTCATGTCTTCTAGACTCAGACTTCTTCGAGATTGATCGTGATACAGGAAGGATAACCGTGGCTACCTCCTAGATGCAGTGAATGATGACAAGGTCACTCTGATAATCAAGGCGACAGATATACCTCAGACAGACCCTGCTATGGAAGCAATTACAAACGTAATGCATTGTTTTATACTCTGTAGCATTTAGATAATAAAAAATCCTGATGTCATGGATTATCCTACAGTCCACGAGAACAGGCATCCGAAACATTCATAAAGTCCACTCGCCAGTCGCATTTGACCAAATCAATGTTAGGATCAAGTTATCAATTGGTTGATTTATGTTTTGTCCGAGCACCAGGTTTAAATATTATAACGACTTTTCGACCCACAGATTACCATTTCCATCATAACTGACCAGCCGCGTCCATATTTCAAAAGACGTACACCTTCCAGCTGAAGGACAACGAGGCACCAGATGAGGATAAATCAGTCTCCATACGAGCCTATGTGCGGAGGGCCAGTGAAGAAGAGTGTAACTGCACCTATGTAATAGGTACACTTTGCTTAGTTATTGTATGCTTATGTCCTCAAAGTTCATGTGCTGATGTATTTTTGACCGTTGTTTCTAGATCCTTTCCAGCGCTAGCTGAACGCTTTCGACTGTTCATGATTTATGGCTAGGTGTGTGTTGAGAGAGAGAGAAGATGTAAGAGAGGAGAGTTCAGAGATTTATGAGAGAGAGAGAGAGAGAGAGAGAGAGATGAGAGAGAGAGAGAGGGAGAGTGTCACCCATTTTGAGAGAGAGAGAGAGAGAGAGAGAGAGGGAGAGATCAATTTTCAGGAGGGTGTCACCCATTTTGTTTTGGGGACTAGGGGGTCATCAATTTTGTACATAGGGGTCAAAATTTTTACATAAAAAATATTTAAAAATTAGGCTTATAAAATAAGGGGGTAATTGATTTTGTACATGACATGCAGAGGGGGTCACTTACTTTGGTCATAAGTTTTAGGGGATCAGGCACATTGTACATGCTTCTCCATACAAATCATCATCAAACACCCCACCCCATCCCCCACCCCCAGCCATAAATTAATCCCTAAACTTTATACTGAAATCATTCAATCGAACAAGTCCTCAATAGTTTCATTTTAGCAATAGGTTTTGCGTTTGTAATCATGTCCTATGTAGTAATTGTGGATCGTTTCAGATTCTTCCAGCTTTAAAATAGACAATATGACTGGAGAGTTGAGACAAAGGGTGGAAGTAGACCGCGAAGAGACAGGCAGCCGGTTTTATGTGACAGTGAAGGCGACAGACCGACACAGCCTTCTCTACAGGACAACAGATGTTGAAGTGATAGTTGAAGACGTCAACGACAACCTTCCCTACTTCAACATCACGCAGCAGAAGTTCATCGTAAATCAGGTGCGTGTTTATTGCTTAAGCACAATCTTTGAACTCAGACCAAGATTAAATGCCAGCGAGACTGATTCACACGTCCTCATTGTCAACACCAATGGTGGCCTGATGCAGTATTGTTGGAGTGATGTTGGGTGTGAAACTAAGCTCGTGCAATCCCTTATAACATTTCAAAATAGCGATTATTATTAGTTGTAGATTTAGTAGTAATTGTGGTTGTAAAGATCGCAGTAGTACTAAGTAGTCATCATCATCGTGGTAGTTGTAATCGCCGTCGTCGACGGTATTAGTATTGATGGAAGTAGTAATAGTAGTAGTAGTAGTAGTAGTAGTAGTAGTAGTAGTGGTAGTAGTAGTAGTAGTAGTAGTAGTAGTAGTAGTAGTAGTAGAGGCACTAGTAGGAGCAGCGTCATAAGTAATCGTCTTTGTATCCTATCGATCTGACTCTCAGCGCTCAGGAAGAATGACATCCTTGTGATTCCGAAACAATTGTCAGTTTAGGAGGTAACATTCAAATACAGGAATGTATCAGTCTATGCTGATATATAGTATTGATATATTTCGTATCAGAATATTAGAACCAATCTGAAGTCAACATGCAACAGGATGAGAGATACCTTGCAAAGTTATCTCCCTTGAACACTCTTTATGTAGATTTTATACCGCTTCGTTCAAATGCGTGTGTTTTGTGACTGGGATAAACGTGTTTGAAGGTAAAATGATATGCCAAGCAATTCCAAAATGAAAATGAAAAGAGTGCCAATGTATATTCATATAAGAACATTCTCATTTCAGAGTGTTCCGATTGGGTATATGATAGGAAGTGTGACGTCGTTGGACCCTGACCTGGACAGTCAGCCCAGATACACCACCATTCCAAGGGATGAGGCAGTCCAACTGCTGAGTAATGGAACTCTAAAAGTGAAAGCTTCTCTGCTGAACTACACTGACGTTCGTGTAAGTAAAGTGTGAGTGAATGAGTTTAGTTTTACGCCGCACTCAGCAATATTTCCAGCTATGTGGCGGCGGTCTGTAAATAATCGAATCTGGACCAGATAATCCATTGAACAACAGCATGAGCATCCATCTACGCTTTTGGGATACGATGACATACATGTGTCAACCAAGTCTGACCACCAGATCCCGTTAGTCGCCTCTTACGACAAGCATGGGTTACTGAAGATCAATTTAAAACTGGATCTTAGCACAGGGCACCTTTAGCACTATGTGTAGTAGATCACATGTTGTCAAGTAAGTTCAGAAGATCTTAAAATTCCTTATTCAGCGTTACGACTCAAAGGCATCAGTATTAAGCCACTCAATTAATACGCACTGTTTATTTATACACTAGTGTGATTACATGAAGTGAAGGCTGAGCAATATTTTCTTGATATATACGAACCCGATGAAATGTCAGGGATTTGTTTTCTTCTGACGATCATGAGTCGTTTTTGAGGCCGAGATTTGGACGAGGAGGGTATTAGAACATCTTTATTGAACCAGTGTTTAATACGAAAATAATTAGACCTTTAAATCTAAAGCGAATCATACCAACACTAAGTCTAAAAAAGACTTTTTCTTTCAAACTAAGCATGCAATTCGTGATGTTGCATAAAAGAAGTCTTTCTGCACCTTTTCAAGAACACCTGGTATCATCAGCGCTTGATATGTTCTAAAAAACAGTCGTAATTGTAGGTCGGAAGGGTTAAAATTTGAAACTAGATTTTGATATATCACCCATTTTGTTTTCAAAATGTGAGGAGAAATGCTATTGTTCATGTTGGCATACCATAGGTTATATGCAAATAGTCGACAGAACATTGGCTTGTGTTGTTTGTACTCACTAACTGCCATAAGCAGGTAGTAAACACAACAAGAGTAACAGTGGTTTACTTCCTTTGTTTTGTCTCCTACCCAGATGGTTGTCAGTGTTAAAGAGGATAACTTTGAAGGATCTGTCAACAATTCGCTACAAACTATCACACAGGTCTTCATAGAGGTGCGACCAGACGATTACAACGAACATGCTCCCAAATTTCCAAAAGGTAAAATATTTGGAGTCACGTCACTGGATCATACAGAGGATTCGGTTATTCCGACATTGTCATGTGCACATTGTACTCTACAGTAATAAAATTAGTTTGTTGTGGAAGTGTGACTGTATCATAACCCGAAAAATTGAATATGTTTGACATTTTGTAAGTAACGCAACGTCCATACATCGGAAGTGTGTAGTTGGATGGATTTTTACTTATTATTATTATGACTATTATGATTATTGTTCGTATGATGCAGTTGATACACCCTTTTATCCTGTTATAATTAAATATTGTTACAGAAGACGTATGACTTTAACATTGTTTAGTGATGTCGTCCCCTTATGCAACGAATATGTATTCATATGTTTCAGCGATGTATAACTCCTCGATGAATTTCCAATCTGAAAAGGGTGCCAAAGTTCCGATTGAGGACTTCACAGCAACGGACGCTGATGGAGACAATATCACATACGCCATACAAACAAGAAATGATAGGGTGATACATTGTATATAACTATAAATCTTTAAGTCATGTTTACCATTTCATGAACCGGATGCTACTGACCTCTTAATTTTGAATGGATGTAAAGTACTTCTCCAAATAGCCACATTTAAAAGAAATGTTCTTGAATTCTTATGTCGGTGTAAATTGAACATGTTTTTATCCCAACATTCCACTTATCATTTATCCTGGTCCAGTCTGACCAGGATTCATCCATAATTCTAATTTCATATGACCACATGTGTGTGAACGCTGATATGACTGAGTATACATGCTTAAGTTATACATTATTCTTCAGGATAATCTCAAGATCGACAGCGAGACTGGGACATTATCTGTTGACATTAAATTTGATGACACAGTGCCCGAACTCTTAACATTAGTCATAGTCGCGATTGACAAAAGTCCTTATCCGAAGACTGGGTAAGTTCGTAACGTATTTCCAGAACCACTTTTGATTTTAACAAACACAAATCAATCTGATATCCATTCTGACAAATGATGGCCAAGATGGCGTAATGTATTGGCTAGACATAACGTGAATGACCAAACGCGGTAGATCGCTTTTTTGGTATATCCGATACAAGAATATATCCAAACCAATTAGTCCACTTCCAAATCAATGTCTGGCTCCTCTTTGAGGTAAAAAATATGCATTTCTTAAAGCATTTATCAAATAATATGTGATATTTGTTCCAGATCGTGTACAGTCTCGATAACCCTAGTGCATTATACACAAACAGAATGTCTTGCTGAACACGAATACTTAAGACTACAACAGGACAGAAAACAGAGAGAGCTATACCTCGGGTTATTCATAGCCATGGCAGTGCTCCTTGGACTGATCAGCATTGTTGCAGTGTTCGCGTGTTACAAGTAGGTGATTCCAATTTCTCAGACATCGCGGATAAATGCCCATAGTTTTGGAACCTTAGTTTCCAATTACTTTTTCAACGTTGTTTCTTTAAGGTGGAGGACAGTAAGACGCGGAACACAATATCGGAAAAATATCGAGACAGCTCATGCTAAAGGGGGAAAAGATTCAGCAGAAGGTGGATATGACTCCCTGGCCGCGAAAGAAGAAGATAAGCCTTACAACCAACTCAGAGACAAAGACTTCGTAAGTCTATAACATAATTTTGACCCATAATTTTGGGAGCTCTCGGGCAGTTTGGTGTAATGCTAGACTGAAAACTAGGATGCTTGTAGCATTGCTTAGCTTTTAGTCCATTGCATTGACAGAAAGCTGAAATGCATGTAAGACTCTGTTGAGGTATATTTCCTGTTTCCCATCTGAATATATATTATGACGTGAAATAGAAGAACGTTTCCTTTTGTCAATTGTTACCTTGTTGTCTTCATTCACGACAAATGCATGATGCATACATAAGTGACTGTGAATAGTGATATTCCTGTTTGTAACATTTACAGATTGTTCTTTGAAACGAATAGGTTGTAGTGACTGACGTCGGCTTAAATGTAAGTGTGTCACTCTCGTTTTTGCAGTCAGCAGGCGTTCCAAACCCGGCATATGTGTCTTCAGGTTCAAGGTAAACCAAACATACATACACATGTGGCGACTGGTAGTTGTCTCAACATTTTATAAACACTTTACATGCATCAAGAAAAATATATGTTTAATCTATATGTAAAATAAAAGATTTTGGATTAAACCATTTTATTGTGACTGTTTTTCAGATTCTTAATTTCATGTATTTGTTGAATTTTGACATTTTGTTAAAAATTAGTTGATGTTATGTAGCAGAATAATATGTTATAACATGTGTTGAGAGTATTTATCATGTTCCAGAGCTCCATGCACCCCGCCAGCAGAGCCTCATCCTGACGAGCATCAGTCAAGTGAAATCCTCATGTGAAGAGCCCCTCCATCCACTGTCAGTGAAATGTGACCATACACAAGAAGTGCAAGCGTAATACTTGAACATTTAAAGCATGAATTATTCATGCCCCCAAACACCTTTTAAAACTGTGATATTTCTGCATATGAGAAACACTGTTAAAGGGCAGGTGTAATGAGTTAATCTGGATCGAAATTAATTATCGATATGTTTAATTACAATAGCATTGAATATGCCTTATATGTGTATGTGCTTTCTTCTTTTCACATGTTCCTCTTGTGGTAAGAGGTGACTAACGGGATCTGGTGGTCAGAATCGCGGACGTGGTTGACACATGTCATCGTATCCCAGTAGCGTAGATCGATGTTCAAGCTGTTGATTACTGGATGGTCTGGTCAAGACTCGATTATTTACAGACCGCCGCCATATAGCTGGAATATTGCTCAGTGCGGCGTATAACTGAACTCACTCACATGTTCCGATGTCTTGTCATAGTTTCGGGAGTTTTAGTGTCTGCAGTAAATAGTCTCTGGGTGTTTAGTTTCTGCAGTAATAATAATCTTGTTTTAACACTCTTGAAATGTCTTAGTCGTAACAACTGTCCTATGTATAGAAATATTAAGACTTTGCTGGAACCGGTTATCGTGCCAGTTTGAATACAACTATCAGTAGGTTTATTGTTTGCAGTTATTAACCTTGTATTTAACACTCTTGCAACGTCTTAGTCACGACAACTGTAGCTTTTATAGAACTTTGAAGTCACCGTTTCCTTTTTGTTTGGACGGGAAGGTTTTAGAACAAGTGTTCTGATAGTCGGGTATCATCTTGTTGACGTTCACATTTGTATATTTAATACGCACCCCATTGTTATAGAATAGACTCGTCAGTGGCTCTTCACAGTTTTCAGTCTCATTATCAACTGTATATACTGTAACTTAGGTCAATGTTTAAACATTGAAAATATGTATCACTTATAATTCTTGTTTTATAATATTGAATAAAATATATTTTTAGTTAAAAATGTTTATGTTGAACATTGGGACGTTAATCTTACAATCAACCACAACTCCGCCTGGTCACAATTCTGTTCATTTGGAACCTACCATCGTTATATTGGGGAGGGAGGATGAGATTTTTAAACAGGGGACAGTTTGCAGTGGAAAATACTGGGTAAACTGACTCAGGAATTCGTTCGCCTGACAAGCAGGATTAAAAATATATCTGGTTCCTTCTTTCAAAGAAAATGATATTTAATTAAATGTAGTAACTTAAAGAACATTCTGACAAAAATCCCACATGTTTAAGCTGTCAGTCTTCGTTCCTTTTTCACCTCTAAAATTAGAAACACATTTAGAGTCGTTAGGGCGGACATAAATCTCTTCCCGCGAGAGTTCAGTGTGCACTGTCGTTTTCATTGATCACAGTTCATATGGCTTCGCCTTGAATGATTGTAGTCTAGGATACGCACGTACAATCTGTTATGTTGTCAAAGCTGATTTGGAGTTCATCTGGTGTGGCAAAAGTTTAAATGTAATGTGAACTCTCAGTAAGTAATCTGATAGCATCATTACAAAAATGACCAAACTTACTCATAAACATAACGTCACAGAACTCACGAATGTCCAGTAAATGTGTTATAATTTAATATCTTGACTGACACACACGCTCAGGTGTAGTCTCAAGGAGACAGGCACGAAATTCGCCGCTTTCTAATTGTAACCTTTTCGGTACTGGGCAAGTAGTTACAAGTGAAGTCAGCAGATCCAATCTGCCTCCAGGAAATTGTTATCTCGCCAAGTGCCACTGATGAGGTAGCATGCCCCAGACACGATTGAGAGTCTGTAAACAAGCTTATCACGGTAGAAATGTAAACAGCGGGTCGCTATAATTTACGAACGCTTCATTCGGCTGCCAGTAACAATAAACGATTGAATGAGTTGGGATTTAAGTCACCATTAGCATTATTCCAGTAATATCAAGGCAGGGGGACTCTAGACATGGACTTCACACATTGTGGGAATTCGAACCAGAGTCTTTGGCGTGACGAGCGAACTCTTTGACCACTAAACTACCCCACCGCCCAGTTAAATGAATTAACAATATATACTGCTACATAATAATTAGCACCTAAACGATTAAAATGATTTAACTTGATACCAAATTAATTAAATTGTTGTTTGAGACATCAAAATATACCATCTACCCATTGTATCATCCAAGCCGAACAATGCAGAGCTTGGATTGGATGGGACCAGATTATTTTCACACCCAAAAGACACCTATAAGTCAAGGTGAACAAATAGAACAAGTGCACACCCACAGTGTTCGGAACATGTTAGATTGATTATTTGTTCCTTGCTTTGTATCAGTTATCCTTCTGATTAATTTGCTCAAGGAAAATATGTACCTTTGGCATCATCTGACATCACAAAGTGTGACCGAAGAGTGAGTGAGTGAGTGAGTGAGTGAATTTTTACGCTGCACTCAGCAATACTCCAGCTTTATAAAATAATCGAGTCTGGACCAAACAATGCAGTGATCAACAGCATGAACATCGATCTACGCAATTGGGATACGATGACATGTGTCAACCAAGTCAGCGAGCCTGACCACACGCTCCCGATAGTCACCTCTGACGGCGGTCATGGGTTACTGAAAATCTTCACGGGTCAGGAGCCTATGAACCAAAAGCACATTGTAACGTACCAGGACATCCCTGTCGTTTGGCGTTGACAGTATAAACAGCCGTCTTTCAAAGATGATGGTGAGCTCAATAGACGGGAGGCATTCAGCCAATGAAATAACGCCGTCGTACAAGTAATTCCTGTGTAAGAGTGAGTGAGTATGGTTTTACGCCGCTTTTAGCAATATTCCAGCAATATCACGGCGGGGGACACCAGAAATGGGCTTCACACAATGTTACATTTATATATGTACTATCCACTGACCATGTCTCAAACTCTCACCCCACCAACAATATCAGAATATATTTCAGTGCTTTCACATTGTGGTTTTCGCTATGTATTTTCAAACTGAAGAAACGCACGGTGATCCTAATGCACACATTATTAATGTATATATAAAATTGTCGATGCGGTCGATATAACATTGGAGTCAGTGAGTTTAGTTTTAGCAATACTACAGCAATATCACGGCAGTGCACACCATTAAGTTAACATTGGAAACACCATGTGGACTTGAGGTAACTGACTCGATTAATCATTGAGAACAAGAAAGGCACAAGGCTATGATAATGTTGTCCGTTTGAAATGATACAATTTCACAAAGAAATAAAACAAAAATTACAAAGTTTTCATTAGAGGTGATTTTTCCACGACCCTGGGTTTCTGTTACAATCCCGTTACATAAATATAAACCGAATTAACAGTCATGACTACTCCGCCCTTCACACAATTTGCCAACAATGTATGTATTTAACATTACAATCCGGCGCCACATATCAGTTCTCCTACTGCGCGGCGGCGGCCTGTACACAAACCCGACCATCACGTGTTCGATGAACCAGAAAACCAGCTATTAGTTTTGAATTACGACCGTGTAGATGTTCAGTGACATCGCTGCTTACAAGTACAGAAACGCGTGTTGGAAACAGATTTGTGTAAAACACAGTGGTGTTAGTTTTAATAGCAAGGACCAAACATTTATTTCCTGGTTGACGCAACATAGGTAAATTCCTCCGAGCTTGTGATAAAACTCGGGGACTTGAATGTCCCAGTAGGAACATCGACAGGTTCAAGTCTTACCAATCTTCAGAAATAGATCATTGCATTTAGTGTAAAGGGCGAACTAGCTGTGAAAATCACATGGATGGCCATGGATCAGGGTCAAACAGTGATGACACCAGGTGTTCAAGGAAAGTAAGCATATCTTGCCTACCGATAGCACCTGACAACCACACAATTTGTCTAGAAATGTAAGCCCGACCCAACCCAGCAGAAGGGGAACCCAAACAATCCAGTCGACTATAGGGGTATATCACTGAGGTATCAAGATTTCACATGATCTCACTTTACAATGCGATATCCGAATCCCAGACTGGTTTCCGAAGGAGTGAGTGAGTGAGTTTGGTTTTACGCCACTTTTAGCAATATTCCATGACGTCAATACAGTGTGACGTTATGCATAAAGTGTACTTTATCGCCTTATAAAGTACTGTCTGAGCCTACTGTCTAAGAATACTCTATACATGGGGTAGGGTGGTGTGTGTGTGTAGAGCTAACTGTACCTCTTCAGTATTACGCAGACTATGCCGTAGTACACTCGGTGTATCCTTTTTTTATCTCACTGAATAACAAGAACGGGCATGCACTCCTTGACAATGTTCTTGCAACTTGTCTTGCGGACAACTTGGGATGATGGCCAGGGGTGGGCAGGAAACGCTACCCGTTTCAAGAACACCTCGTACCATCACTGTTTGAGACCGATTGATTAACACTTGCTTATGGCACTGTCAGAATGATACAATGGACATGAGTTTAGCAGGATTTCTGACACATATTAAAATGATTTGTCGACTGCAATACCACCTGTGATAATGTTTCGCCTTGGCAATGGTGACCCTATGGGGTCAGACACCGACTGACCAGTAGTTGTTTGTATAGCGTGAACCGGTCCGACCTTTTGGTTATATTAACATACACATTTATCATACGCTGTTAGTATGTTAACAATGTTGGGGACCACAACGGTTCACTGCACAGATGTAAAACCCCATTGACCTACTCGCCTGATTCCCATCAACGGCAGTCTATGTGCATACATAATTCTCACTGTCAAACTGTCACTGGAAATCAAACGATAATACAATAGCATTACACGAACCATTCGTTACAGAAAGAAGTATTTTTATGTATCCTTTACCTTTCTCGAAACCCAAACACACTTTTCGAAACATCAAATAGCTTTAATCATATTTGATTCCGTTACCAGTTTTAATCATAAATGTAATTATTTTTTTATGAGAGTGAAGCAGATCGAGAACAGTTGTGGTTTCATGCATATCTTTTATAACAAGTACACAACCCTGTGCACTTAAAAGAACCCACGAATCCGTTGGTAAATGACCAGATGGTGGCCACATCAATACGTGCAGACACCTAGTTGCGGGTACAGCAACGTGTAGTAAACATGGACAAAGTACTGTGACTATGTGTCCCAGTCCATCCAGCTGTGAATGGGTACTTCGTAAGGATGGGGAAGCCACATTAACTTGGTGCGCCTAATGGCTGCAAGAGTTGTATGAACCCCAGGAAGTTGAGATTGGAAATACGATGTGCCGTTGAGACTGACGTCCAATGATCGAGGAAAACACAAAGCGCCTTTCACCAGCTGAGCTGGATATTGGCGCTGTACACTTGTTAGTATTTATGTATTATTTCAGTATAAATTGTATCCAGTATAATATGCATAGTTCGCTGAAGTCAAGCTGGTAGTTGTGTCAGTATTTTGAGAGGTCACCCGATGCGTTAGTTAAAAGAGACCGCTTCAGTTATTTCACCGTATGATGAATGAAGATGCAAAGCCGCTTATAGTTAGTGACGAACACGGATGAATACTTATGTGTGTTGATGTGAAAAGTGATAAACCTGATACTTCTCGGGTTGCTTGAAAGAAATAGACCAAAGCCCTTTCCAATTCAAATATTCTTTGCTTTACATCTTACAATAATGAGGTTATCTGTCAGCTCGTATACATGATTGAGGTCGTTCGAGCTTAATCAGGTTTCTCGATCAAATACGCCCTTCCAACAAACAAATGCGATGACAGTTAGGTATTTCTTGTTTCTTACACATCTATAAATGTCTTCTAGTGGTTAGAGCGCCCACCCGGAGAGCGGAAGGTCGCGGGTTCGATCCCCGACCGCGTCATACCAAAAGACGTTAAAATATGGTACTTGTTGGTCCCTACCTGGCGCTCGGCATTAATGGGTACAACAATGACTGGTCGGCTCGGTGTCAGTATGATGTGTCTGAGTGGGGTATTCATGCTTCACTGCGGCAT